ATATCTTAAATTCTAAGACGTGATAAATTGCCGAGTTGATTCAAGTATAACGGATACCTGTAGGACTTAGAGAAAATTCTAAGGTCGAAAACTCTAACGTGTAGAATCAGCTGCCGCAGCCTTTCAACTTAGACGTTAAGATGAACGAAAACAAACCTGGTAATACCACCAAAGAAATGGTAGAGGCATCAGGAATGGTAATGATAGGTAGTAGTAGTAGTTTTAGAATATATATGAAGCCTACCAAAGATATGGTGGAGGCATGGGGGTGAGATGGTGATGATTTTAAAATACATAAACAGTCTACCAAAGAATGGTGAAAAGGAATGTAAGGGAAAGAGTGAGAGTAAAGGGTAAGGGATCATTACTAATACATGATTCTTCATTTTAAAAATATTAATAATAATAAGGAATGGTGAAGATATGGATGGTGATGGTGGGTTTTTAGAATACATAAGCAGAGAATGGTGATAACATGAGGGTGATAGGGTGATGGTAGTTTTTAAAATACATAAACAACCTACCAAAGAATGGTGGGAAGAAGTGTGAGAGGGAGAGTAAAGGTAAAGGGTGAGGGTCATTACTAATATGTGATTCTTCACTTTTAAGAATGTTAATAATAATTGTTTCATTGTTGCTATTCATTTTGAAAATAGCTAGTTGTATTAAGAAATATATTGCAGATATTTTTTGTGAAAAAATTGCGTAAATTTGTAATAAATAGGAGATATCAAATTGAGTTTAATATACAAAATAGTCTATATATATATATAAAAATAAAACATGAATTACACGAATCAAAGCTAAGTAAACTTGATGAAAATTACTTTTTCAGGATGAATACAATAGTTCAGTTTAATTCTAATCCATTTTGATCTGATCCAATTGTCAAAAAATCTAATAGTCAATAAAAACATTTGAAGATCAGATCAAATAAATGAATCAATAGATCAAAAAATTTGATGATCTGAATATTCTGAAAAAAAAACGCATTTATGTTCTTTTAAAAAAAAATGATTTCACAAAATTTAAAAATATTAAATCAAAATATGATCCAAAAACTAAACTGCGATTGAAACCTATTCTTATACTTCCAAAATCAATTATATTGAAAACTTCAAATATATTTTCTCTTAAGTCTAAAGAAGTAATTGATCTAGAGATTTGTACTTATATTTTTTTTCTAATGTTAATTTATTCAATTTAATTATTAATATGTTTATATTAAATAGTCAGATGCATATTATAACTATACAAGCAGAATCACAAAAATTTGAAGATTTTTCTTTAGTAAGTTTTTCTAAAATATTTGTTTAGAATTTTATTATTGTCTGAAGCGAAGCGTAGGACAATATACTTTTAGGAATTAGAGTGAAAAATTGCACTGTCACGTGAGAATTCCGTCTGTCCTATCGCGTTATGTAAGATCAGATCAAAACAATCAACAAAAAACCAAGTAGGGTAACTTGTGTAGCTTGTGACGCCTGAATAAGATCAGTACAAGAGAAAAAAAAACAATACATTTATACATTTTTTTTTTACTCGTTACATTTTGTTGAATTTTATTTTTTTTTATTTTTTTTACCGTTATCTGTTAAATTTTTTATTGAATCTTTTTAGATATTATTACTAGGCAACCGAAGCCGTTGAGAGTCCAGAGCAAAAATTCACTTTACAAAATCTTTATTTTTGTTTTTTGTTATTATTATTTTTGTTATATTTTTAATATATTGTACCTTTGTGATATTTTTAATGTAATATTTTATTGCTTAAAAAAATAAAAACGCAGTTTTGGAAATTTGTGAAAACTTTAGAAATTATGAAGTTTTATTGTTGAAATAAGTTATTATGTGCTTCTTATAACTTATGTCAATTTCTAGATATCATTGAAACTAGTCGCTCTTCTTCGATTTTCCTTTCTTGCAACCTTCTACAGTCTTTAATGCGCTGGAGTCTTTCTAAATTGAAAGGTTGAAAGAAAATATCTCTCATAGTGTGGACCTGAGATATTGCCACAAATGAAAGGCCAGCTGCAAACTCCTTATCACCAAGATTTATTACAGTTTTTTGTAGTATAAGTCTCTGGCTTTTATGTACAGTAATGGCCCATGCAAGACGAATAGGAACTTGTAAGCATGAACATAATGTTCTGAATTTGTTCTCTCAGGTATGTCAAATGGGTGCAATTGGGATAACTTTTGTACCTTCTAAGGTAGCAATAGTGGGGCCTTTATAATTTTCAAATGAAATGAGAACTGCTATAAGAAGAAAAGGTGGTCCTTGATCCTCTCTGAACAAAATATTCTGGACGATTCCCAGTACACCATTGATCAAGCCAGCTTCTGTTCACAAATTTGATGTCAATATAATACGTACGCCTCTTGCTAGCAGCAATTATGCTTCAAGACTATGTGTAATGTCAGAATCTGCTTTTTTGGCTTCGTTGCTACCTGTGTGTATGGTAAGAATCCTGGCAACAGGAATGTTTAAAGACCTGAGTCAGTCTATATTCATTGCATCAACGTCGACTTATTTCGTTAGGATGAACGTAGTATCAGAAAATTTACTATATTCTGTTTTATTTAATCTCCCTTCGAATTGTGTGGTAAGAGTCCTCCAGTCAGCTAAAGTAGACTCTCTATCGCATAATCTTAAGAGGAGAGATCTAAAGTCCTATTGCTCTTGAGAATTTCCGGATTGGCGTTAAATAACATCAAGCTTATACACCTCCTTAAATAGGATATATGCGGTAAGACTATTGTTAAAAAGTGGATTTTGTGAAACTTTTGTGTATATCAGGAGATTAAGTACAGGCGGGAGCTGGCCAAAATCTCCAAACATAATAACTGATCTCCCACCAAAGGGTTCATTATTATTTTCAGAAAAAGCCTGCCAAAGCCGCATATCAATAAGACCAAGTATTTAGCGGCCAACCATACTTTTCTCATCTATTATAATATATCTTACACTTTCCAATCTATTCTGTAGCAACTTCAGCTGTTCCCCTTTTATGTCAAGATTACTATTGCTAATTATTAAGATAGAAAGCATCGAATGAATCGTCATCCTACTTATGTTGAAGGCTGCAATGCCTGTTGGTGTAACCATTAGTACAGGTGATTTATAATTGACTCCTGCTATCTCGCGAAGTCGATCTCGGATTCCTTTAATGAGATATGTCTTACCGGTTCCTGCAGTTCCTATCACAATTATTCTCAATGGTTCAACTCGATGGCCTACAAGAATATTCTTGTAGTGAGATTCTATTCGTTCAAAGACCATCCTTTATTTTTCATTTAACGTTTGATAATCTACAATTTCTTTATCTTCTTTTTCAGCATTACTTTATCTATTACCAGAAGCTTTATCTACAAAGATATCGGCGTCCATAAGGTTAGCATTGGAGTATCATTGCCTTGCATCATTGATCTAATCATGATTCTTATCTACATCGCGAGATCCTAGATCGGAGGAACAATCGATGACTGCGTTTAGGCCTATCTCAGCCAGAAACATCCAATCAAGCCTAAATTCATTTTGTTCATCATCTTCGAGCTGCTCATCATCTTCTTCATTAATAATTTCGCCTTCTTTATTATCTTTAGAAGGCCCAAGTAGATCAATTGAATCAGTATTGATCTCTTTAAGATAACGGTTATATAGAGTTGACCATGCAATAGTTTCGTTTTCAGTTAATTGTTGAAGATCTCAATGACGAACATAAAGAAGAACCTTCATCTGACAGAACTCTTCCCATAGGGAGCCTTCGTGCAAGGATGACAGATGTGGATAGATTCGCATAATATTTTCTACTTGGCATATTTTCTAATGACTTTTGACGAACTTATGTGTTAAATTCAGTCGATATAATGTAAAATCCTCGAACTCAGCAGGTCGACTCCAATATCTTTCCAAAGGTGATAGTTCTGTCCGTCCAAAATCACTTGTAAGAGACTTTTCTCCAGTATTACGGATTTACTTTGGTACTTCTTGGTTAAGATTTAAAGAAACAAATAACTTGCTTGAATAATATAGTGGAATTCCAAGGAGAAGATGACAAGTCTCTTGAGCAGAGATATCACGCTTTGCAATACTATAGAGTAGTAGCTTCTGAACTGGAGCAAGAATTGGGTCATCAGATTGGCTATTATTTAGGATTTGATTCAATATTTCTGAAAAAGCAGTAGACCGTGGTTCCGCTTTGCTTGCGTACTTTGAAATGTACTGCAAAGCCGCATGAATACTTAAGATCAGCTTCAAGTCAACATTTGCACGCTAACTCTGCAATTGAAGCCTACTATGTGGATTGATCAATGGATCATTCCTTTTTGTTACAAGCTTAGGTTAACCATGACCATTACACGTACAAGAGTATGTTCAATGTTTTCCTTAGGATATCTGAATCTGCAAAACTGTTGATCATCTCGATTAACACGAAGGCAATATGAAAGACTGCACCATGTGTATCATTGCAGTTTATTGATCAGTTCAATATAATCTTGCTGATTATCGCATATTTCTTCTTTGCGCTTCTTACACAGATGCTGATCAGTTACAGGAGCATTGAGTCCTGGATTTATGGTGGTAACCTGAGAATCAAGGTATCCTACTACTTCATTCATAAAATTTTCATCTTCCTTCATTCGTTTCCAATCTATTACAAGTGCATTTTGCTTTTTTGTAATACCATGAACATGGACACTACCACGGTGCTATCATTCGAACTGGTACCACCAATCTTCCAAATCCTATTGTTGCTTTAAAACATATTTAAAAAATAATTCAAATCGCTTATGGAAAAACCAAGTTGCGATATGAGGATTATTGATGATGTTTTGGTGATTTGACTCAGCTTCTTCTGCGAAATTAAGTGACATAACTTCATGCAGCTCGGGCCAATGCAAATCAGCAGTACTGAATGTAAAAAACACTAGCCTTTGCAAACCTATCTGTTTAATCATATCTGACAGTTCCTAATGCCTTGCATTTCAAAACTGTCAGGATCTACATAAACCCTCACTATATCTCATAATTCTATCAGCCATATGATTGTCACCTTAAGCAATCTTCTCCTGAATATCCATAACAGTGATTTGAGGATCAGTAAGATTTTGCTTGACATATACTTTTCCTTCTTGTAGGGTTCTCCACCATATTTGGGAATTCAACGCGAAATACCGCTAACGTGAATGGTGCGCAAATCTTCCATCTTTATATTGGAGAAAATGTTTAAAGTATTCGGCCGATTTTACGTCTCTAATACATGCCACACAAAGATCTGTGCATCCAGTTGGGTATAGAGCTGGGAATGTATATGCAATATACCTAGATGTCTGAAATTCATTGACTGGATGACTATCAATTTGTGGCTATTCTATTAGAGATTCTTCATTCTGTATACGATCAAGAGTATTTTAATAGCGACATCTTCACGATGGATTGGAGAAGGAGTCAGAATAAAAGTGCGTGTA